ACAAGCGCGAGTGGATATGAGATGATTATAGCCAACTCGGCGCTACGCGCCTCGTTGGCTATCTATCATCTCATATCCAACGCGCGCTCGCGGAATAATTGTTAAATATATATATCTACCATACAGGTGAATAGCGCCTTTCGTGCACGCTGATTGGCTTGTTAAGAAGTGAAAGTAAGTACTATTTACCTCCGCGCTGCTGAAGAGAAAAATCGCGACTTTTAACCGACCGAGATTCTAATAAGAGTTTACATTCCGAACATTTTGGGTATACTGACAGAAATAAGACGTTTTTTGTTGTGTGCTTCTGTGTACTAAAAACAATAACTCACCTCGGTGTCGGTGAAAATGGTGGATATTAACCTCTACTTCGGTGAATAATTATGAATAACGTCACGAGCTGACGCGTAAATAGTCACCTGTTAAGGCTAACAGTCGAGACGTAACGACCCATTTCAGAATTGGTCACATTGTGACAGAAACGATGATTTTTGTCCCTATTTTTATGTTCTTTCTTCGTAGTGTACACTAATTTTGCGGAACACCGCAAGACAGAAGTGGGAGACGGCCAGCTGCCAGATCGGGTGGATTATGATGAATATGACGCCAAAATATTCAGGAACCCGCCCACCCACTCGACCCTGAAGGGCTGGGCACCCAGAGGTACGAACTTCAGACGAATACGAAGCGCCCTCGATTTGCAGCGAATGGCCAAGTCTATGTCAAAAGAAGAACCCATTTTCCACCGTATTTCCTCGCCTCCTAGAGGGGTATCGTCCTATGAGGACATGGAGATTTCAGCTTCTTTTAGCGCGCTGACGGTAATTATTTTTCTTTTGCTGAATCTTGTACTGTATTTAGGATCTTGCCAGGTTTAAGTGTTCAAATTATGAAGTTATTCTAGATGGAAAAGTTTTGAAAAAAATAGAAAAATGTCGTAGAACGTTCCGGCTTTCCCCGTCTGTCGTCATTAGGGATGAAAAATATTCCCGGGATGCACTTTTTCACCGTCTCACAGAGAAAATAACTCAGTTTTAATAATTTCTTGAGTTTTAAAGCTGGTCAAGGAAAATTTCAAATCATGTTTTCCGTACTATTAAAAAAGGCTCACCGAACAATTTCGAGAAAAGCTTTCTATTTTTCCATCCAGAGCAATGTTTGATGGTTTATTTTTTTATTTCTTTGTGCGCTCGTTGTTGGTATTCCTTCACCATTCCTAGCAGCAATATACTAAATGCCTTCAAATGATAAATCGTTTTGACTGATCTTACTAGGACCGAGATGCTGCATCCATTAAGACCCTGGACAATAGAGAAACCCATGTACTCTCTTCATCTCTGGAGTTTACGTCTCATGGTGTCCTCGGTATGTTGTGTGTATCGTCACTGTTTCTGGCTTCCATGTGGGAGACTTAATGGCTCAATAGGTTTAATAGCCTGAGGTTATGATAGTAATAGTAATGATAATGATGATAATAATATGAATAATAATAATGGCAATTATGGAAATTTAGCAATGGACATTATCCAAGGTGTCACTTGTCCACTGTTAACATATCGGCGCATTAGAATTTGGAATGGTGCTATTTTGTGGCGGGGTGAAAATCCGAAGAACCCGGTGAAAACCCCCCTGAGTAAGGAAGAGAGCCGACAGAAAACTCGACCCACATGTGATGCCAGGTCTGGGAATCGAACCTAGATCACAGCGGTGTCGGGTCAGCGCTCGCACCACTCCGCCTTCTTTAACCTTGGCCTCAGTGCCACTCTCTCTCCACCCGGGAATATAAATTGACATCGGTGAACCTGTAAGCGAATCCTACTGTATTTGGGGTGGTTACCCATAGTTGACTAGCCTTCTATTCAGGGAGAGTAATTTTACATCTAGTCGATCTTTGCTATGGAAACCGAGATAAGTTCTAAGTCTGTCTCATGCGCAGACTTACACTCGCAGTTCAGTCTCAGTTGTTCTATTCCCGGGCCTGTTTTTAAGCGCCTCGATGTTAAAGCCTTGAAGTTTCATTTACAAAGCGAAACAAATCGTTTTTGTTTTACCTGAAAAGCTTTTGTACGAGGAAACAGCCCGTGTGGCATTGAGACCAAACGCAAACTT